AAATGTGAAAAACTTACCTATTACCTGGCGATCAAATCGTAGCAGCTGGATGACAGCCAGCCTCTTTGAAGACTGGCTGATTACCGTGAACAAAAGTATGATTAAACAAAAGCGTAAAATTTTATTGTTTATGGACCATGCACCATGTCATAATCCCGACGTTGAATATTCCAACATATGTGTTAAATTCTTTCCTCCAAACACAACATCGAAGCTGCAACCCCATTGACCAAGGTATAATCAAGAATTTCAAGTGTTATTATCGTAAGTATTCTGTTTTTCGACATTTTGAAAAATATAACTGACTTCATTTAGGTCAACATCTTGTGAAGCATGTAATATCACGTTGTGCCCTTGCTACATCACCAGATGACATTATTATTACTGCTCTTGATGCCGTAACTTGGACAAAAAATGCTTGGGAAAGTGTCACTCAATTAACAATCCGCAACACATTTCATATGGCAGGCTTCGTTCATCCAAATACTCAAGATACTATTAGTGGTACAGTCGACAATGAAAATGATACAAATGAAGAAACTATTATTGATGATATTACAACAGCATTAAAAGATCTTGATACTCTTCTTGCTCATATTCATATTGATGGACAAAGTCTTTCAGCAAGTGAATTCGTCGAAATGGACTTAGATACACCAACTTTCAATGAATGGGATGAATCTGACAATGATGTAATCATTGTCGATGAAGAATATGTCAATAAAAAACATAATAATAATGATCAGGATGATGATATACTAACTGAAGCACCAACAAAACTCATCGATCCGATGGAAATGGCTAAAAAGTTACACCTTCTGGCTTCTACTCAATATCCAGAATTACATTCACTTATTTCTCAATTAGATTCGCAACTGACTCAACTCTTTATCGATTCCAAAGGTGCGAAACAAACTAAGATTGATGATTTCTTTTGTAAAAATTAAATAAAAATGTATAATCTTTAAAAGAAATATTTTTTTTGTTGTTTTGTTTTATAAATTTGAAATAAATATATGTCATAAATTGAAGGAATGATTTTTTTATTCTATGCACTAAGTAATCCGAGGAAATTCTAACAAAAAACGTGCGTACTCATCAACATGTAACACTCATCATACACAGTATACATGTAATAGTTTATTCATTATGACACCTCTATATAGTGAACATCTCCTATAGTGAACATGTTTTAACCAGTCCCATTAGTGTTCACTTTAGGGAGGTTTTACTGTATATCTGTCACAATTCATGATTATTCTAAATTAAAATAATCGAACGTTGCAAAGGACAGAAAATATTTTATTTTCTTTTGCACTTATTATAAACGACTGAGATTTACATAAAGAGAATATAAATATCAAAGATACCGAAGTGCAGATTCAAACATAAATATAAATTGTTATTAAACAATTCAACTAACCTTTTATAAAATAATTAACTGCACGTGTATAATCAAGACGTGGTGATAATATAATTAATACATCATTTATTAACATTGGTTTAAATTCCAAATAATAAATCAATTGATTTATAATATAATTCAACATTAGCTACTTTATTAATTATATATTTAAAATGATTTTCACGCCATGCTTCTGATGGATGTGACATCATTGTTAAAATAGCATTATCAAATTCTTCATATTTATCATAAAGAAAAACAAGTTCAGACCAAAGATGTACTTGTTCACATGCACGTAAAACCTTAGAACAACAAAAAGATTTAATTTAAAAGTAAACAAATAAAACGATTTATTTACTTTTGGTTTTCTAATATGTGACCAAAATAATTCTAAATGTTCACGCATTTTTTGTTGTTTATATATCGAATAAAGTATAGCTAATTCAGTAAACATGCCAATATGTGCACGTGCATGGCTAAATGCTGCTTCAAATAATTGTATTAATTCATCAAAATATCCACGATTTTAATCATAATTTATTAATTCTTCAAGTTCTTCAGCATATACAACTATTTGTATACCACACATTTGTGCTAAACGAAATTCATTTTTATCAATAAAAATAAAACAAATCTATTTAAAAGAAGAAAAAAAAAATGTATATATATATTTATTATTTTAATTTATATAAATATCATACATCTTTCCATGTTTTTATTGAATTAGCTTGATGTGCACGATCAACTGCACCTTGAAAATCACCTAATGTAGCTGCCAATCTGGCATAATTTGATATATTATTATAAAGAAGTTTAGCAGTATTATACATTCCTTGTTCATAACGTCGATCACCAATCTAAAAGTTTTTAATTAAATAACAATATTTAATCTAGAGAAATTATTCGATGATAGATGAGTTGCGAGTTCAGGTTCAAATTCAGACTCGATCGAGTATTTATCCTTCGAATTTGAATAGGACAATATAAGAAAATAATCTTTTTTCTCGAGAATAATCAATAAATAACTAAAAATCTTAATGTTATGAACAAGATTCAGATTACAATTTTCTTACTGCTTGAATTTGAACATGATTTGGTGCTGAAATAAATTCTTCAAGATCAGCAAGACGATCGGTTTTAGCATAAACATATACTAATGTCCATTTCAAATTAAAAGAAAAGTGATTGGTTTTTGAATAACTTTTGAACGATGATAGCTATCGATCTGCGGTTTTCACCATTAGATAGAGGCTGCTATTCTGCATCTTTCTATATAATAGCAATTTCTTCAATTCATAAGTTTGATAAGCAGGCAGTGAAAATCAATGAAGCATTGAAAGTGATATAAACAATATGTATAATTTCAATTATATTGAGTGCATTAGATTCCCCTACTCGAGATCTACAATTCTACACAAACCCGAAATTTTTATCTAATTTCGTTCAAAACTTATACGTCTTACACTAATTGTCAAAAATGCTAAAAATACGTATTAATGTTTTTTTCAAGTTTCAGTATTTCTAATATTATCGAGAAATAACTAGGTTTTCGATCATTCTGGATGCAATGAAACTGAATTTGAATGTGTGTTATCAAAGGTTTAATGGATAATAAATGCTTTTTTAACCATTCTAGTTTCTTTTTTGATACATCAATTCGATGTATAAATGGATATATAAGTAAGTCCAGTCGTTTATTTATACTAGTTAACGATTCTACGATATCACAAGGTGATAAATAAATAAGAATAAAATCAAATAGTTCATAAGCCAACGACATTAATGTTGAACCTGTTAGAAAAAAAGAGCTAAGTATTTAAATCGCGAGCTATTTCAGGATCTTCAGAAAAAAAGTCGATTTCCGAGTTACTAGGGCGATATACTAAATCAATAGTACGTAGTGTACAACAAAGTAATCAAACAACTACTCATACTCTCTCTCTCTCTCTTGAGCAAGTAATGTACAATTACATTCTGTCTTTTGTTGCAGCTGCTTATCGTTTTGTTAAGAATAAACGTGTACAGTAGTTGGATTCATGTTTTCTAAAATAAAAAAAGAAATTCTCCCGCCAATAAGATTGAAATAGAACCTGTTTAGAAATGCACATAAAGTGCGTTGTTTTGTATCATGAAAGAAAAAAGGAAAATTTTCGAAAATGAATCAGAAAACTGTCAACGATAATTCATAGATAAGCTAGTGATTAAGAAGAGAAACACCAGAGATAACCGTTACTATTCAATAATAACAATATATTTCAAAAACAAATTATCATAAACGTCCGCGTTCAATTCAACAGAGGGAGTAACTGTACGATGCCATATAGTACGGATGTGGATGTTTGTACGACTGTCGACCCATGTCACTCCGTGCGTTTTGGTGCGCGCACGTAACGTTGTGCGCACTTGGTGCGCGTACGGGTATGGGCGCCGATACGTGCGCCACCATGCGCGTACGTACGTGACGTTCCTACGCGCACCAAAACGCACGGGGTGACATGGGGAAATGTTGTTATAACAATAGCATTCACTTTTTTATTCAAAAACACTTATGAAAGAAGTGTATGCATATAGATTGTGTCTACGTCAAAAAATTACTTTATTCATACAGTATCTTTATGGCCATTTGATATAGGAACCAGGCGTAAATATTTTGAGAAATCGTAAATAACTTTTTTTGTTATTGTTATTGTTTGGATAACAACAACTTGAGGGTGTGAGTGTGGTTGAGTTAAAAATACAGTCACATCCATATCCCACCCACATCAGAAGAGAAGAGAAACTATATCCAACGCGAAATAAATAACAATTGAACGTGTAAGATGACCAATAGAGGAAAATATTAAATCTCTGCCGAATTATTCACAATTTAGAATGCTAAAACGGATGAAATAAAACTGAAATAAAAAATGGCTAAAATCCGCAACATCTGGCATCTCTGATCCACATACCTCTCACCCACACCCTCAACATATAAACATGCTCAGTCCATTTGTTTCACAAGCAACGACAACTATGATGCTATTTTATTCAGTGAACAATATGAATTTGACGAAAGAAAATTACTCATAATTTCGATTCGAGTTTTTCATAGTGTTCAATTGAAAAATTTCAGTTCCAGTATATTTTTCGCTTCCACTGTTTAGAGACGCTTGATTCTACCACAGAACTTTTCTTGAAATAATATCCATTAAGTGGTCCATATACTCAAGATACTTAATGATATATTAAACCCAACTAGTAGCAGATGCGTAATTTCAATAAGAAATAATAATTCCAAATATATTAAAAACGATAATAGAATACCGCTGCTAACAACAAGAAATAAAAATGAATATAAAATAGAGCAGATTATTTTTTGACAAATAGGTTGATCTTTGATAGAACCTTTTACCAGAATGTAAGTTGCATTAGGTCTCCAAGTACAGAATTCATACATAACATCAATAAAAACAACAATAAGAACGGGGAATTGAATTGCAACCGTTATGTACGTAAATGCATTCGAAAACAGCATAAATGTTGTTTGTTGTAGTTCTAGGCATGGTCTTGCATAATCAAACGCAAATAGAACGATAACTGGGATACTAATTGAACTTTTATAGACAGTTGATCTTAAACTTCGTAAGAACTTATTACAACAATTCATATTTTGTCTAAACATATATTCTAGAATTGTACCAAATATACTACAAATCAATGCCAAAAGTAATGCTCCCCAAAAGCAAAATAAAAAAAAAATGTTCTTTACTACGCTTAATAAGCCAATCGATTTCACCATAACTATACACTGTACCATTATTTGTGCAATTACTTATATGAAATCCTTCTTTTACCACTTTATACATTTGATCATTAATATTTGCATACTGGTAGTTGCCTTTTTTCATAAATTTGTAATACAATAGCAAATGATAGATAAATAAAATAATAGTCACTGCAATCGATACAATGAGTAATATTATGCGAATAGTGTTTGACATTGCTGTTATGAAAATTTGTCAAAATTAACTAAAGGCTAAAAAAATAAATTGTGTATTAAATCTAATTTGGATAGGGTTTGTAGTGAATGTTGAACACCTCAAAGTGGAATGAGAATTTTTTTATACTTCACTATCTCTCGAGAGCGATGTGCCTTCCGACTTTTCTACAGTGAAGAACTATATTAACACGAGAAAGGTGCATCTGCAAGAGAGATCGCTTTTCACTACTTTTTACATAGATATTCCCTTGTTAAATCTGATACGTCATCCTAAAATTCTAGTCCATGTCCTAATATGTAAAATTATATTATGTGCTGTTAGTTTTTCTGCATATTAATTTTACTGTATAAGGAAAAAGTATTGACCCCAACGCTTGTCGTCTTTTCAGATTTTATGCCCATAATAGAACTCTCATTTGAAGTCCTTCAGTACCGCTGTCTCATATACGGTGCAACTATACAAAACAAAACGGAGGAATGAAATGACCTCTCATCTCAAGCACAGTCATGTCGCAAATACAAGTACTATCTCTAGTAGTATATAGCATTAGAAAAGTTTTCGAAGAATAAGCCATAATTAAAGCTGCTAAGTCTGAATACGTTGATGAGTGAAATTCAAGGCTATACATATGCAAAACGCTAAATCTGTTCGGGCGCTCACTTAGTAACCCAACGAATGCTACACACAAAATGAAGAAGAGAAAATTTTTCACGAATGAAAAATCCGAGGAGAATAGCAATCAAAATGGAATAGAACAAGAGAAAGAAAAACGTTAGCCATGGATCAAGCACAGTAGAAAGAGCGAACGAACGAAAGAATATAGTATACTGTATCCAAAACTAACAGAACGAAAGGATGCAAACACAATGTAGAGATTTATAGCATGACTTTGGTGCCTGATATAACAGAGGTCTTCACTGTCAAATAAGTCTTACTCACATAATTTCTCGAGATGATAACCCTAGTCAACTCTCCCTAGAAGAATCCCTGGGGATTCACGACAAGGACTCCCCAGGGAGTAGTCGGGGGGGAGGGGAGTGGATTAGGGAAATATCTAAACTAAAATTATAAAATACTTCAAAATCAGTAGAAGTAAAATAATTTTCAAAAAAGACAGCAAGTCAAATGTTTATATGTTCTGTTTATATATCTATATACGCTTAAATCGATCTCATTAGGAAATGAATAATAATAAAACCTGATCATGATAAATAACCTAGAAAATGTTAGTGGTTATTACCATTGTACATCCAACATATACGACAGAAGGAAGACCTTGAAATTATTCATCATGAATTGATTTTAATCATATTACCATGCAAAAACAGATGCAAAAAAACATTCACAACCTTGTACATCCAGATGAAAACTGCTCTAGGGACATAGAAAAGAACAGCGACGAATATGCCCTTACAAGCAGTATCATATCGTTATTCTGACCAAACTTATCACTGTAGAGCGCATAGTTAGCTGTCGAGTGGAACAGAATTGGTAAAAAATTGTCAGTGCCGGCACATAAAAGAGCGACCTCTATGTATTTTTTTGTGATGAAAACAGCATTGTTAGTCAGTTTTTAAGTATACAACGAAAACAAGTGAACTCTACGTTTTTTGTCGGGCCCGTAACAGAATAGCAAATATATGAAGATTCAGAGATACAGAGCCGAACTTCAAAAATATTGTTCTACTTTAACAAAAGAATCTGCCATTATCTTCAGAGTGTGTGAGGTGACGGTACCAGTTCATGTCTTAGACTCACATCCGCATCCTCTAATTCTTTGATAGAAAATGCAAAGCCTGATTCCGATTATTTACTGAAATGTTTATTTTTTTTTCATTCAATGCTTTGCAATTGAAGCAAAGTATTTATTTTTCTCTGTATGGAAATTTCATTCATATATAAACCATCCGTCACGTTGTGACTATTCTTTGTAGCTATTCAAATCTAAACACGCGAAAAATTTAATATGAGAATATGACAACATTGATTCTAAATAATGTTCAACTTTACCCTTTAAAGTATGCCGTTTTTTACTTGAATGCTTCCATGAATCTGAAATGTCAATGCACAAATGAATTGTAAGTCACTACTAGGTAGTGCCCAATAAATCATATCATCAACATGAATAAAAGAGCAGTCATTCAATTCCGCAATGTTGAACATTCCCGAACCAGTTCCGCCCCCGGAATCAGTTCCGTCGATTCCGGAATTAGGTCAAATATGAACACTGTCCGATTCCGGAACTGGTTCATCTGATTCCGGAATTAGTTCCTCCAATTCCGGAACTGCTTCGCCCGATTCCGGAACTGCTTCGTTCGATTCCGGAATTAGTTCGTCCGATTCCCGGAATTCCACGAAATTCAGTCCAATTCCGGAATTAGCTCAATACGGAATCGGTGGGAATTAGACGGAATTACCAGGAGTTCCATGTGATTCCGTTCAATTCCTGTTCGACCTAATTCCCGGAATTCCGTACCGGAATTGCATTCGTCACCGAGCTATCAGATGTATCAAGTGTCCATTGATCACTCAATTCCGGAATCGCTGGGAATTAGACGGAATTCCGTGTAATTCCGTTCAATTCCGATCAATTCCTGTTCGACTTAATTTCCGGAATTGCATGGTGTGGGTGTTGCCATAAGTGTGGGTGTCAGTGTTGGTGTTGCCATAAGTGTGGGTGTCTGTGTGGGTGTTAGCATAAGTGTTGGTGTTAGTGTCGGCGTTGCGATAAGTGTGGGTGTGGATGTTGGTGTAAGTGCGCTGAATTCTGGAACCATTGGGAATTAGGCGGAATCCGTTTGAATTCTGTGTAATTCCGGAATTGAATCGGAATGGATAAACGGAATTCCGGGAATTAGATGGAATTGATCGGCAGTGATTCCGGGAATTCCGGAATTCTGTTGGAAGTGATAAATGGAATTTCGGGAATTAGATGGAATTGGTTCCGGAATGTTCAACATTGCGGAATAGGATGTATTCTCGAATAAAAAAATTATTTCGAAAGTTTGCATTTTATTTGGAATAATACTGTTAGAAAACAATGCAACAGTGAAAAACGTCAAAGTTCTTCTCGCTTCAATATCATTATTAACAATTGAATTTGTTAGATTATAAAAATATTATCTATCTTCATATTCGCAGGAAAAAAATCACCTTGTCACACATACTGTAGCTTACCGGGATCAAATTCAATAGGAATTAGTAAAATAAAATATTCTTGATTTAAACAGTAATGAAAGTGATAGTACATGAAAGATGATGAGCAGTTAATGAAAAAAATGGCTAACATTTTACAGAAAAACTCGACGAATTATTTGTATTATATTTTGTTGTAACATGGCTGGTGCTGGCTCCACTTCATGTCGACACAGTGGACATGTATTTCTCGTGCGCAACGAATCCAACATGCATTTATAATGAAACAAATGTGGTCGGTTACCAGAACAAGGCCATTGAGAATAATGCTGGCCAGTTGTTAAGTAATTAAGACAAATAGCACACACATCACGTTCAACATCCATATCGATGGTCACTCGTCTATTTGAATTTTCTTGTGCTTGTCGAAAACTGGCAATAAATCGTGTCGAAGCAGGCTTTTCTTGAGAATATTGAATCTCATAGAAATCTCGACGCTCAAGTTGTAGTAACTGAAAGTTTTCTTCTTCACGAATCAGCTGTTCCAAATGATTTTCTTGCGACCTTACATTACTTTGTCTCTGTCTATTTCTGACCCCTGCATCACGCACAGCATTTCCTGCTTGTATCGAACACGTCGGAGATTGTTCACTTTGAAGTCGTGTTGTGTATCTAAAACAATAATATTATTGGTCTTGCCTGCGAATGTTTTTTATTATTGAAAATAAATTATCGACAACAGAGCTGAAAATTAGTCATACACATATCCTTTTTGGGCTATCACAGGAAGTTCTTTTGGAGAAGCGTAAGCAAATCTAATACTACTTACCTTGTTCTATAAACTTCACTGATTTCCATTAATATATCATGTAACCATGTAGAATAATTTTCCACATAATTCGCTGATATCGGCCACGGAAGCAATGATTCATCTGGACCATAGTAGATACCTTGATAATATTTAATTTTATGAATATCTGTAACAGGACAAATAATAAACGGCGATGATTTATCATCAGCATCGATATTCTCATCTAAACTTATCCTCAATAAGACAACAAATAAATAATGTTCGTCGTTTTCAATGATAGCTAGCCGGTTATTATATTTGTGTTCACTTCTTTCTAGATATTCATCGAATTTGATCAATTGCTCAAAGAGAGATCCATCGATATTCAACAACCAAAGTTCTTCGGCAACACTTGGAAAGAGTTTCAGAGGCCATGATAATATACCAGCTTTATGCAGGTAATCACATCGTAGTCTGATGCTCAAGTAACGCATCAAATAGAAAAGACTTTTCAGAAAGAGCCACATAAAAATTAGACCTAGTATGACGTATAAATAAGGAGAAAAGTATTGATGAGTCATGTTCAAAGCTAAATCCTCTGCGGCGAACTTATACTGGTTACTTGCAGTAAAAACTATTTCACCCTTCGGCCTATAAAGATATCCGATCAATACTCCACATTTTGTTAGTACAGCTTTGTTGAATTCAGTGGAGTTCTTTGTATATTGATCGTCGATATATCGAACATACTCAGATTTTTCGACCCATGTTCGGTATGTGTCGGCAGAATTAGACGGTAAGCATCGTACAATGCACTGTAGCGTTCGAATGGTGTACGACTTAAAATGAAATGGGAGTCGAGTGTGATATCGACTTTGTGATGCAGTTGGTAATTTAACATAAATAGATGGTTTTCGAATTCGTTTATAAGTTGCAATATGATAGTTTCGTGTGATACGGTCGAAATATTGTTTAATTATAGCGTACTTACTAATTGGATCTAGGAACATATTCTCTCCTAATTCTAATTGAATGTATTCCTTCCTCCCAAGAAGTGAAACATAAGAATAATTGTTTTGATATGTATTCACATGTTGAGCAAAATCAATTAAATTGAAATGAAAAGGTCCAAATATTGAATTGTAGATTCGAATGTGCAGTTGGAAGAAAATCATTCCAACCAACATGATCACAAGAAGGATAGTTGATGAATATTTAAAATGATGAACATCTCTGTTCCCTTTCAAGCGAAGACGTTGCCTATTAAATTCATCCAATCGATGAGTCATGGGATAGCGCGATCTAGGATACAATCGACGATTTTGATAAGAATGTAGGTAAATCATAGTATTTTGTATTGTATTGAACAGAGACATGACTTCTATTCACCTATCTAAATATAATTATTTAATTACAATTAGTAGAATGGTTTAGCAAAAATACTTCGATGAAGAGAGAAATAAAAAGACTACGAAAACTTGCAAGTCAAATCATAAGGTAAGAAAATGAGTAATCGAGGAAATGAGTGATGTAATTGCACAACATCATTATATTCTATTGTATATTTGGAAAAAACCAGCGTGTATCTTTTTGCTCATCTCTTTATCATAGCCACTTTGTTTTTTCGAAATGATGTACTTCTGTCTATGGTTATGAATAATGCTGTATTCTTGAAAGAAACCTTCGTTATTTATACAAGAGTTCTGCTGAATTCTTCAAATTTTATTACAGGTATTCTCTAGAAGCCGTCAAAATTTGTGACTTACTTGAATTGAAGAGAACGGAAGAAACAAAGATTTTATTTTCTTCAATTAAATTCTCTTCTTACAGAATTTCACTGAATCACTAGTATTCCCAGCCAACCAACCAGCCAATGGTAGATATCTTGAACAGTATGTACAGTCACATAACATAAAATCGAGAATGGAAAATGTCGAGTAAAATTCTTCTGTAGTTTTAACAGCTGTTATTTTTTAGCAGCTCAGATATTTTTTGAACGAAAATTTTGACTCTTCTCTCTGTTCTCTCTTTTTATCGTAAAATTTAGAAATTGTCGAACATATTAAAATCACTCTTAACATTTGGGTAGCTACAATATATTTGTGGCTGTTTGAAATATTAGTAATTGTCAGTGCTCGTGTCCATCACGTGACAGATTGTAAGTGAAGATGTCGCTGTCGTTAGAAACAACACCTTGGTGTGCTACTGTGGTATAAAAAACTGAAAAATCTTCGCTGCCACTGAAATTGAAATGATCGAAAATTGAAAAATTTTAAATGTCGAGAAAAAGTAATTCAATACAAATAATTATGGCTGCGCATGTTATGATTGTTTTTGTATTTTCATTTGCGTTTCTGTGAAATCAACCAATAGTCGATGACTGGATCGTTTTTTATAAAGTTACCACAAGTGTTTACCTTTTATTCTTCTTTTGAAAATCTCAGTTGCTGTCTTTTATAAATGATGAGGATGTGGGTGTTCTTAAAGTGACTACCTATATCTATCCTCACATCTAAACATTAGCTCACCGCGCACCTTGAGCCGAAATACTGAGAACTGATGCTATGTTATAATTCGTTTCATGAAACAAATTCAATGGCAACTTCAAATAATAGTAACGAGTGTAAAAGTAAAAATGTTGCTATGCATACATCACAAAAAATGCATCGAATATCTAGTAATTTGAGTGAGAAGCAATCAAAAATTCACATCCTCGCCAACAACCTTGGAATATTCCGCGAAAAGAATAAATACAATTATGACTCAACCTAAAGTGTTAGCAATGCAAAAAAAGTAACAAGTGGAGACTTCGATTCTTGTCAATTAAAATTTCGTTTTTTTCTTATCTTTATCATTCTTTCTCGCTTATGTTAATCGACTACATTCTGACTGATGAAACTTGAAAACAGTGAAAGTCGCTGTAATCATGTTTTGCATTGCGCAGGTGGTTGCTAACAGTACTTCCTTGCATCCAATCTTGAATAAATATGCTACTTCTTCAAGAGAAACATTAATGATGACGAAACATTACAGCAACCTTAAGGTTTTATAGTGAGTGCTTTTATTTTCAACTCTCTAAAAAATTGTAGGAGGTGAATTATTTTTCATAGATAACTGTCAACTACGTCCACTAAATACCAAAAAATAAGTATGTATATAATTATTTAGTTTGAGAAAAATGAAAGTTACCTGCAGTCAAATTTCAATGTTCATGTAAACCTACTATTTTAATTATGGATCTTACAAAATGATCTATGTATTTCATTTCGATAAGAAAAGTTTGATAGAAAAATTCTAGGATCACATAATATTTTTATCGAAATATCACTTTATTTTGTGTCTTCAATGAAATAATGGTGAGTGTGCAAGTGTAGGAGTTTGGGTAGATCTATGAGTAATGCCCAAGTACAACATTTTCTCTCCATGACAACTGCTTTTGTGCGGGCGATGTTTCTTATTCGGTGCATGATCGTAAACGAACTTTCTATGAAAAATCGATAACCAATGAGATTTGTATTGTCAATGACTCTATGCTTTCGTGTTTCATGCGGATGAATACTATCATAATTGTGAGCTTTGCAGTACAGCCATACGTCATAACTTACGATCGTTTATAAATGTAGTTGTTTTCATTGATTAGAAACTCATTCCTTGCTAATACTATATATACGTATATTTTTATAAGAAGCGATTTAAAAAAAGCCAAACAAATATTGACTACAGGTCTCAAGAAATAGAGAAAAATGTTGATGGTTGGTATAGAAAATTTCCGGTTAATCCTATTAATCCCACCGCTATTAGCAACCATTCGTTTTCTACTCACTTTGATGTTATGAAATGGCTGTCCACAGAAGTTTTGTGAAAGTAATTGATGCGCCATTTTATCTATCATCAAGTAATTATCGCTGCCTCTTTTTTAACTTTCGAAATAACTAGCTATTGCTACTCTGCAATCTTTCTAGTTTTAAGTGAATTCATTTCATACTTTCACAAAGTGACAGAAAACACTAGAAGGATATTTTTGTAATTCTAATTCATATAGCTTTTACCAGACCCTACCATACTTACAAATTATGACCGATGATAGTTCTCGATCGGTAACTTCAGTACACATATCAAATAAATCCAGGCCTCCATCAGAACAAACTCCAAACACAAAATCCTCAAAAAAGGATGCCATGCTTCCTGCACTCACTTCTAATCCAAATGTATTGGTTTACATACCAGATATACCATTTAATATTCCCGCAAATGACCTTGAAGAAATGATTCGAACTCGTGTGGAGACTACTCAGCGTTTAAAAATTAGCGATATTAAATGTTACGTAAAGCTTGGTGTGGCTGTAATTCAATTGATGAATGAAGCTGATAAAGTGCATCTCATTTCTACAGTTCAGTCGATGGTTCTTGATCCAAAAACTAGCATAAATATAACATTTAACAATGAGCTCGATCTTGATTCTTATGTAGTACTCGATCACAATACGCCAACGATTCCTTCTGCCGATGATATTGCTCGCCGTTATATGCAAGTGTACAAGACACAAGAAATTCGTCCGTGCAGATCGATATCTATTCAGTTTCCTAATATTTTCAACATCTCATTGACAACACTAGATGAACTTGTTAAAGTAGCCGATGCACAAGATTTTAAAGTCGAAGATACGTTCGCTACTGTATATGTACGTGCTGACTGTAGCTTTTTTGAAGATTTACCACCAAATACCAATGAAAACAAGCTTATATCAGCCATCGCTGCTCAAATTGACGAAAAAGAATTGCTACCCACATTGTTTCACGTACAGTATAATAAAGAGACAGGTAATGCAGTTGTTTTGGCAACAAAATCTAACAAAAAGTGGAGCGCGGAAAGTTCCTTAAAATTCGATACGCGCAATATACCGAAAAAGACGAAACTTGCCTATCGAGTTCTTGTTTCTCCTGTCCCTCAAGATTTTGATCTTAATCTTATTCTTAGTCATACATTATTTGCACATCGAACTGTAGCCCATAATCATATAAATGATCATCTTATTATTGAACTTGATGATATGAAAGACTACGATCAATGTATTACTATAGGAGCTCTTCGTATAGGCAAAACTACTATGAATATTACACCGCATACTATTGTGAGTGACACAGACAGTAGTGAAATAAATGATGAAAACTGGTATGAAACAGAGATGCGCGATATGAAACCAGATATAATGACAATTATAAATGATGATCAACATCCAATATTTCGTTACAAGTGGAATGCAGAAAATTGGCTGCAACAGATGAAAAAGTTGAAAGTAAAAGGGGACCACTCAAGAAAATATGATATTGATCAACATTTGCTACGAGTGACAGTCATGCTGAATACCATTGGAGTTCTTAGAAAGAAAAAATATACAGTAGACGGCCAAGACGTGATACTTAAATTAGAACGTATGCAAACAATCGGCTATGGTAATAAAGCAAAATTATCGTACGGAAAAACAATATCTGAAGCAGAATTGTCGCCTCCATACGAATCCACGAGCGTCACTGTACTCAACGAAGACTGCCTTGTTCTTTATGAGACATTAGTCAAAGAGGGATATCGACCTTTATTACTCAATATGGCCAATGCTACCAGTCCTGGAGGTGGATATCGGAAAGGTGACGGCGCACAAGAAGAAAATCTTTTTCGTCGTTCAGATTATTATCAAAGTCTTGATCTAGACGTAGCCGATAAAGATCGATCAGAGCGACTGATTTGCACATCAAAGTGTGAAGTGAAACGGCAAACAGGCCATACCGAGTTCTATCCTATGGAAGAATTCGGAGCAATCTATACATCTGGGATAACTGTATTTCGTCAAACAGAAGACAACGGTTATGCTTATATGAAAAATCCTTTATACAATGTTTGTGCCATTGCTATGGCTGCCTATCGAGATCCAGGATTAACTGACAAGAATATGCTAGAAAACAAAATGGCAACTAAAACGCACAAAAAAATTGAAAATGTATTCTCAATAGCTCATCATCATCAACATGATTGTTTAGTATTATCAGCACTGGGTTGTGGTGCTTTCAAAAATCCACCTGAACATATCGCTTTACTATTTAAATCAGTTATTTATCAGTATGCTGGTTTTTTTAAGAAAATTTATTTTGCTATTGTCGATGATCATAACACAGGAAATAGAACAAATCCAAATGGAAACTTTGGTCCATTTAAAGAAATACTCAACGATTTGATTGTACACCCACCAAAGACAATTCGCATCGATGGAGCTATTGGCCCACATCGTATTCTAAAGAAATCATCAGACGGAAAAATAACTCTGAGCGATGTGTGTATTCAATATCTCCCACCATGTCAATATGCTACTGAATGCCATGATTTGAAAGATTCTCAACATAATAACACGTTTTCTCATCCACCTGTTTGTTTATATCAGGAATCAGATTTATTATGCAATCAAATCAATGATGCCGTTCATATGTTTACATTTATGCATAAAAGCAAATGTAAGCATGGTGGTGAATGTACTAGTAAAGATCCACAACATATGACCGACTATGATCATCCAGAATTTTGTAAGAATAAATCTGACTGTATAGATATGAGCTCTGAACATTTATATGCTTATCGACATCTGCCTGTTTGTGAAAATGGACTTAATTGTTTGGATTATCTGAGAAGAGACGCTAAACATATGAATTCTTTTCGACATTGCAAAACTGTTTGTCCTTATGATAATTGTTGTGTGAATTTTCATGATAAAGAACATATGAAGAACAAAATTCATTCGTTTCTAGAGCCATGTCCATTTGCACCATATAAATGCTCAATTTTTGTTAGTTATATTCAAGTTGATCCTACTAAAATAACTCCTCCAGACGTAGAAAATCATTGCCTTAGATACGCACATGTTTGTCAATTCGGTCGTTATTGTAAAACAAAAACTGAACGACATTATGAAACATGCATTCATATAGCTCGCAAGCCTTGTCCCCAGGGTGATCAATGTTCAAAACTCACGGATGAAGATCACCTAGAATCGTTTTCCCATCGAGATATTCGGGATATTCGTCTGTTGTGTAATCGTGCAGGTTTTGAATGTCGAAATCGATACGAGCAACAACACTTAACAAAATATCGACATGGAAGAAATTTCAATCACCTTAGTGTCGCTCCATGTAGTAATCTTAACACATCTGTCAATTTTTTTCACAATCAAGGTCGAATAATTAAAGCTGTGAATACTTATATCGACGCAGCGAACTGGGAAAAAGTAAAAATATCTCAGCATATGCTCAATTGGATAAAAGCTTTGCAACCTGTGCATCGATGTGCAAAACATATTTTTGAATCAATTCTCGTACATGGTCATGTGATGAGTCGAGCATATATGAACTTATTAAAGCAACCGAAATTCGTGACAAAAGCAGTACTACAGCATAACCAAATACGTTCCATATTTCTGCAACATAATATTCCAGCAGTGAAAGAAAATGTAAAAGAGCTTGTTAAACTATTGGTCAAAGCTGAATTTGCAAAATCAGGATCCACTGAAGTATCTCCATTGGATGCTGATCAAGATTATAAAACTAATAATATTGAAAAGAAGTTGAAGCCACCACTTGATGAACGTAACATTCAAACTATTCATACGTGGGCAGTAAAAATCGCTCAAGCATCTATTGAATTAATGAAACATCCAATGGGAATTGGATTTGACGTTGATGAAAAGATGGGAACAGATAAACATATTTTTAGTATTTTAGGACCACATCTTGGCTATTATTATGGTGATATTGTTATTACATTTAAACAGGAAATAATGTTTCATCCTGATGCTAATTTTTCCATCCAGGCTGGAACCAGTTTTCATAGTGCACGAGTTTATAAGCTCCGTCCATGGTTGACACAACCAAATAATGAGGATCAACGTATTGAAGATTTTCATAAGGCAAAATTACATTGTTCGTATCCTCGCTATGAATATGCAGCAGCTACAGAGTTAGTTGCCTTCACTGGTAGAGATAAAAAGTCGATGAACATGGATATTAATGCAGTTCTTCAGCAATGGACTGAAGTAGATTCTCATTTCGTGTTCGAAAGCCATCTACCACAATTGATTCCATTGGATTATATTGATAAAGTTTATATTCCCAAAAATATATTTGAATTGCTTACAAATGAAGCCAAACAATCAGCTAAAGAAACTTTCAAAAACTCATTGATCATTGCTGATTATACTCTCGATCTTAGTTTAACTAAAACAGGCGCTATGCCGCAATTAGATGAAACTCGTAAGCCATATCTACAATATATAATCGGCCAAATCAATCAAAGGATAGAAGAAAGAATGGCAGCACCACATATTTCACGAGGTTTCGTTGTAACGGTTCCGGGAACAAGATTCGATGATTATATTGTTGTGCCAATGACAATATCTCAATCCTATGGACTATACTGTCTCAATAAAGCTCAACCATTGAATAATCCCGAATTCACCTATATCTATTGGAAAGCCATGAATGGTGATATGATGTTGCTAATAGCTAATGAAATGATCGAACTCGATAGGAAAGATCAACCAAATCTTCAGTGTCTCATCTGTTACGTTGCCGAGAAACCTTCGACAGCTACAGATGACTATCACGAAGAATATTCGTATTTAAATTCTGGTCGTCCATATCAACATTATAATGATGTTCACTTGGCTCATTTTAAGGCTAAATCAAATTGTTTCTATCGTGGCTGTAATACCGATGATTTCTTTACGTTCTGCTTAAAAATCACACACAAAACGGGCGAAATTTCATTGTCTCATGCTGGTCCAAATGGAATATATAATCATGAAAAAATTCATTATCAATTCAAAAAATCTGAGTTAGATTTGTCGAGACTAAATTACGTTCATATCAGCGCTGGAAACCAAGACGTCCCCGTACGCAATTTGACGATTAATCATGAGCCTATGCTCGAGTTACATTCAAATTTTGATAAAGATTTTAAGATAGACACATCTGGATTAATAAGAAAGCGTCGATCATCATTTCATCATACTAGTAGTGGTGCTACTGCTGTTAGAACTCATGATAAACGTAAAGACCAGACTGCTTCAAAACAAAATATTAAACCAGCAATATATACAACTGACCAGTCTATGGCAATAGAAAACCCGTCTTTTTTCAGAAGGATAGCGTTAGCCTTAGGTTGTTCGTCTGGCAATGTCATTGTACCGTCATCCAACTCACCAGGATCAGATCCGTCAACAGGCCATGATTCGAGATCCGACGCATCTCAACTAAAGTCGCAAAATCGATCCAATCATCCACAATCGAAATTGTTCCCTTGCATTGATTCTATCTATTGTCTGAATCAATACTCTAAAGATCACATGGAAAAATATTCGCATCCTTGTCGTTTCAATGAAATATGTCGAAATCAGAATACTGAACCACATCTTGTTCATGAGCGACATGATGTGCCTATGTGTTCAGATGATAGAGATTGTGTCGAACGAACAGATCCCGTACATCGTGCACGATATCGTCATACAAATTTACCTGATTATTTAATACCGTGCCGGAATCAAGCTAGTTGTCGTGATACATCTGATGATCACCGAAAAAAATATTTCCACGGCGAAGAATTACCTTCCAAAAAGAGTGAGTTTGTTTTTCAATCGATATATTGATCTATTGATACATATATATTGATAATCGTTTCAGAAAACAACACATCAACAACTTTGCAAGGTAGAGGTCCACCAAGAGCTCGTTTATTTCCGTGTAAATACGGCGATCAATGTCGATCCAAGAAAGATCCGCAACACATGGCAAAATATTCACATCCTTGATCTTAGATGACTTCGTATGAACTAATCATACACACTTTTTAACTTTTAATAAACAAGTTATGGATGTGGATGAATGAAGAGAAAGATCACATCCAGATCTTATTAGCATGAATATTTTCCTGTTTCTCTTAGTATTATTCTTTATTATATCGACTAACGAGTAAACCCAAATATAACATTGAAGAAATCAAGGATATAACTGCAATCCTTCGCACATCTTTTAGACGACATAAGGAGATAATTGTTCTTCGATGTGGATCACAATTTTACCATATTTATCTCATTAAAAGTGAGGGATTTCAGGCCCAACGGACATAACTCAATGTTAAAATTTCAAGATTCGAGTTCAGTTTTTAATATTTATTGTTTTCCAATCGTGCGTTCATCTTCAATGGCATTATATTTAAAAGAAATAGCAGCAATATGGAATCACGCGTTACCAGTTACCTATGATGAATAATCTCTCATATTTAATCATACATTGTTTTCTTAGCAAATAAACTGTTGTTTTCGGTCTTTTTCAACAACATGGTTTATTAAAATAAAATTCAATAAATAACGCTACATAAGTTATTCATTCAATTGGCACTCTATTCAGTTGAAAAGTATTGTATTTCTCTGTAAAACTTGAGGGTGTGTGTGTGTGTGTGTGACATGAGATGCCTAGTTCGAATTCGAATATAAATGAACACTCAACTGCATGTTATCAATTCGAAAATAAGTGATAGAAATGTATTTAGTTTTAGATGGAATGGGTGTGGGTTGAGGGGGTAAAGGGGTACCTGTGGTTGGCGTTACAAGTGAGGGGGTGGGTAGGAGGGGTACCCGAAGTACTTTAAATGTGGGTATTGGTGATGGATACTATGGAGGGGTGCTCAAATGTGGGTGCGGGTGAAGGGTATATATGTATTAATATGTCGCATATATCGGAAAGTTAAACTAAAACTAAATCTATTCCTAGGCTTAGTTTTAGTTTAAATTTTTTTCTCCATTCATATTCGAACTCGAATTAGACAGCTACTCTGATGTTGGGAACTGTTCGCGTCTGCTATGGTATAGTGAATGATTTTGAAGCAGTGTGTGAGATTATTGGCATTAGGGAAGCTGTCTAGAAATTTACTTTTTTTGCGGGTGTGACTATCCAGGATGACGAGGTGTGGCGGTGCCGGTAAATCTGCGCACGATTTCAGGAAGATTGGAACTTCCGAAATTTCCCCAGTTGGAATCGGTCGGATTTCGTTAGTTCCGTTGTGTGTTCTGTTTGTATTCATTTTGATCACGGATCGATTCCGGGAATTTTTCTCAATGGCTACGGTGGCGGGAATGGTGCGGAATATTCCGGTTACAATATGGTGATTTCCAAACGGAATACTGCTTCCACTTTCCGGATAGTTTTCCGGTCGGTTCCGGAGTCCGGAATCATCGACCTGGGTATTCTCTATGATTGAGATCATCTTTTATGATCTAAGAAGACATTTCATCTATAGGTGTATATTACTAAGACAAAATATATGCATTGATCTGTATATATTTTTGAAAATAAGAAAGCAAGCTGCATCATACATTTGAAAAAGCCAGTTATCGCTGAAAAAACAAGTTCGATTGTAGCTAAAAAAATCATTATCAACAGGAGCAAAAAATAAATCATTTGAAAAACAATTAATTGTTATAAAAATCAAACTAATTTCAAACGTCTCAACAAAGACGATTTCCTTCAATCGGTTCGTCATTTTCTTCTGCTATAGCTAATTCTTCTGGCGCAGTTTTTTTAATTTCCAATGGATTTCTTATGGTTGTTTTCGAAGTTCAAGTACTGCAACTAAAAATAATAATCAATGCAGATTGAAAAGAGAAAAATATATAACAATGAACCACGATCATCATTTGTTTGTAGTTGAATTCAACGGAAATTTTCTTCGATTCATTTCAGTTATTGAAGCTTTTCTTCTAAAAAAATGAAATGTCGAATATGATCACATGCATTACGAACCTTGACAACAAAAAATTTCAAAGTAATTTTTCAAACTTTATCTGTGCTTAATGTCTTAACTATAATAGCTGCAAATGATTCTTGGTGGAAGATCAACGTTCGTCGATTTTTTAAATTTCTCTATCTTTCATTTTTAATGAGACCAATTTACTTTAAATCAATATTTTTTTTTCATAAATTTTGAAAAATATTGCACCTTTACAAATCCTGCAGAATTTCAATTTATATGATGATAGCGATGGAACAATGTATAAAAGCATTTGAATTAACATCAAAATTCAGTGAACACTATATTTACGAGTCATAGTTATGTGTAAGGGAGAGAATCAAAGAAAAAATAGCAAAGGTTTCAAAATCTAAGCACTTTAGATTTCAATAAAATAACCAAGAATCCCGAACGTCATTAAGGAATCGCTCTTGCAAGATAGTTTAACTTGTCTGAATATAAAATGAAGAACTATCAAATTTTTCAATCCAGTCTAATTCGCGATCGTACTATTCGAAAAATCAAAACGTAATGAAAATATCAGTTCTTGCATTTTATATTGTATCCAATCCGTTTTTTTCATAGTTTCACTGAACTTCATTTTTTCGAATCAAAAATTAATCTAACTCTCATAAACGAATACATAAAATTTATATTTATGCAAAAAAATGATATTGATGAAAATTCAATACGTAAGGGTGGATGTGGGCGTATATGAAAGAAGAGCACCCACACCCACACCCACACCCAAAACAATGTTTTCAACTATTTGATAATTATTTCTACCAATCTCTGATCTTTTACTTGATTAACTATTTTTATTATTACTGCGGGCAAAACATTTTAAATTGTTTTACCTTGTCCAATTGTATTTCTTCTTGGTCTACACTGCGAAAGGATCAATGAATCATGAGGTACTCAGCTTAACTCAACTGTTAGTCACTACTGATTCGTATATAAAATGAACGACCAGGTTGAAACATAAGATTATTTATGATAAAATAAATACCATCTTTCTACTTCTTTTTTTAGTTAATAAAATTGAGCTGTTTCTTTCATGAAATTCTATATGTTTAGGTCGAAGTTTATGTTCCGTTGATGCAAAAAGATTGAAAAGAGTATTAAGAAAAAGCAGAAGTCATGTTACTAGTTGAATTTACAGTGTTTTTCAATTATGTTTGATTTTGACGCAAGAAACAGAAAACTATCAACGGATCATATATTTGTCGGCTATGCAATCTTATTTTACGACAACTATATTAATTTTCATGTGAACATCGTTAGTGTAACATTTATTTTTCACCAAGGGATGTAATAGAATTTACAGAATGTCTTGAACAAAACCAGTGGTATCAAATTATTTTATACTCAAAAAGTAATTTGTTTTCTTTTTAAAAATAATGTCCGATCGTACTTTGGAAGTATAACAAAAACAACATACTTCATAATATCTAATTTAATTACAATGTGAAAAATCTGATGAATTTTTTATTTTAGGAGCAGCTTAAAGTTTCACATTATCATTCAATCAGTAAATTTTGTGGAAAAAATTCAATTCAATTCAATGATAGGACATGATCAGCACAGACAAAAAATACCTTTACTTTGTTTACTGAAAGAACTCGTTAAATAAAAAAATAAAAAATGAATATAATCAACTTAAATAAGCGAATCTGTTCAAGTTTGTCGAATTCAATTCCCAGAATATTATGTAATTGATACTTATCAACAAATAATTGTTGTAATGATATATAAATTAGAGTTAGCAAGTGCAAGAAATTTACCAAACGATAAATATGTTAGATTCTTTGATCCTAGATAATAATTTGAAATTTATTCGCAAAGTAAATAGGAGAACATTCTTCACTTAGATCGAAGTATTCCTAATCTCGAAACTTAGTCGTTCAAAAGTAACAACTTACTAATTCGCAGAGCATCACCATCTTGCGTCATACTTATTTTAGAATTTCTAGCATTGAAAATAGGTAGAAACGGTAAAATATCTTATACTTTAAAAAATAACTGCATTCCAGAGTCAATTTAAAGAGCAACAATTTGTCTTCGTTTCAAAGTATGCAGTGAATGAATCAATTGAAATCTGCTTTATTATAAGTTTAAAACAGAGTTTTCATTTGATTTTCAAGATTACATCGAAAATACTTAATTGTGTTTAATCGTAGAAGAGACACTCACCAGATACAATCTTCGTAAAGTTACTCGATATTTTTTCTATGATGTATGAATTAAATTATATTCGTGTAACACATAATTTTGAGTAATAAACTGTAACTCGAATTTATCATAGAAAAATCACAGACATTTGATTGTTTCATGAAATTACCCTGTTTTTTTTCTCACGACCCCAAATAAGAACTGAATAAAATCAATGTGCCATCAAAACAGGAAAAAGTGTACTTAGAATTAGAGAATCACATTTTAACAAACATGTTTATTAAAATTCAGTTGAATTATAGCTTCTCTACTTGAATACTAAGACAAATTGACAAATGGTAAAATATTAATATCTTTGAATTAGTATGGCGATTAGTAACATGAACTACATACGTTTTGCTTCGTCTTTTCATGAAAGTCCTACGGTATTAATGAACAAATCTGAAAGTATTTCATACTTTAAAAAGGTAGATACATCGTTTTCATGAATGTATTTCACCACTCCATTGATTTCAAGCTATGAGTAGAGATATATTTGATTTTTCAATTTAGATCACTTCCAGCAAGTTTCATTCCTTTGTTTTTTTCCTAAAATATACAATTATTTAAGTGACTAGAAACTTCGCCTAGCCAACTGTCTTAATCGAACTATTACAGCGTTGTTTAGCTTCACGAAGTTTTGCATTTATAAGATCTGAGTAATATAAGCTGCGTTCGAATCAAATTCTGCTGAATCTTTTTATTCAAATTTTCGTTATAGAAAAAAAAACAAAGGATACGAATTTGGGAATGAAAATGTCGATCATTAATAAACAGTAAGCAAGACGAAGAGTTTATCTGATTGTGTTATCC